GTTTCTGAGCAGAGGGTCATAGTGATCTCTGCTCATCCCAGAGTGAACCAGAGACCGAAGAATTAAATGTCTGGCCTCTGGCAAGCACTCTGAGAATGTTGATCAATGTTACTCCCACTCAGGCTTGTAAGAATGCTGTTCTGCCATGAGCTCATTGGTTCTGTCCTTGTCACCACAGTTAATTTTGCTCTGAACTGTTGGCCATACCCCTTCTTGTTATGTCCTTAAGGCAGGGTAAACAGTGACACCACAGTAGGCTGGGTATTTGAATGAGATGCATAAAAGCTGTAAACCTGCTAATAATTTAGGTTTTGGAGGCGTGAGGTGTTTCTCAAGCATTTATAGATATCACAGAGATAAGAAATGAAATGGGGGTGTGGGACACTTCTGTATGATGGAAATGTTCACGATGGACATTTTCTTGGCTGTTAAGTATATCCTTGGGGTCATATTTGCCTACTAGTACCACTTTGTGTTTCATCCGGGGTGGAATGAGTTTCGTTTTGTTACTTATATGAAGATTTTTTTCAGCCAGTTTATAACATCGATTCCTAGAATGGGTTGTTCTCTCTTGGACACTAAAAGATGTATTTAGAAGGGTGCATTGTAATCATAAAATTCTGCAGTAGGCCTGCATAGCACACATACCCTGCTCTGCAGCTGAGAACCAGTTCTCTTCACAATAGGATGCATCTAGGTGAGAACTTGCTTCCACCAGTGAACAGTGTGTGTGTGGCAGGGGTGGGGGACTGGAAACTCACCAAGGCCTCCTTCATAGCGAGCTGGTGGCTCACTGGCTTACAGCTACACTCGGCATTCCTCTGTCTAGCTGTCAGCTTCCTCATAGCCCAGGGGCAGCATTCGGTGTCCAGTGTCTGGTCACCAGCAGAAGCCAGGCACCTGTGGGAGCAGCAGCAGCTTTCTGACCTCTGTGTCGATGTGTTTGTCCTTGAAATCCACACCACCAGGCAGATCCTCATCTTCGATTCCTTGAATCCATCCAATCATTTTGTGAGTACAAGATGGCCTGCTTTAAACCCTTCAATCTAATGCTTGGTGGTGTCTTTTTCCTGCATTGAATTCTATATGGATGTTGAGAATAATTAAGGGCTATGTGGGCTTTGAGTGGCATTCAAGTTTATAGCGCTAGAGTGACTCTTCAAAGAAGGAAAGAGTAAAGTCTGTGTAATAACATGTGTGATTAATTTTACACAGGAAAATCATAGAAGGTTATATTTTTTTAAAAAAATCAATATTTATTTCTAGAAAACCCAAAGTGAGGTCTAAGAGAGAGGCTTATGTTTTATGCATGTGATTCTTAAACTGTATTTTTAAAATCATTTTCATGAAATACATGCTTTCTTTTTTGTTTTGGGAAGAAATATGTGTTTTCCAATTTAAAAATTTTAAGTATAAAAAATAAAAAATTTCGGTAACAGTTTGAATATATAACAACAAATTGAACTGGGTTGGTGAGGTGGCTCAGCAGATAAGTGTTCACCAGGGAAGCCTAACTTCCTGAGTTTGATTCCCAACAACCACAGTAGGCAAGAGCTCCCAAAAATTGTCCTTGGACTTACACACATACACACACTGTATTAACAAATTAAATTAATTAAAACATCACCTTGTTATTTATCTTTTTATACATTTTAACTTTAGCCCCGACTGGCCAGGCACTCAGAGCTCTACCTGCTTCTGCCTCCTGAGTGTTGAGATTAAATGTGTGCACCACTGTGAAAGTATTATAACACCAGGGCATAGTCTTAGAACTTCCTTGAGCCATCTTACATTAGAACGAAAGTGCTGATTACTCTAAGGCATGGTATTACATAGCATTAGGGAAAAAGGAAAAAACCACAACACCTGCCCACAAGGGTCACGAAAACTCTGTGCTGCTTTTGTTTTGTTTTCTGATTGAGTCACGTGTCTCTGGACATCGAGCTCCTTCTGCCTAGCATCAACAGGAAATTGATGACGCAGTGGTGACTGACCCCGTAATGATGGCTCTTCACAAAGCGTGACCTGCTCATGTCAGCCTGTCACGGCTCAGGAATGTCTTTCACTCTTCACGGCTTTTCAGGTTCCTCAGCACTGGCCGGGGGCTGACAGACTCTTGGTCATTCGGCGGAGTCGGCATCCTCTCTGCATGGCGCTGCATGAGTGCATGCAACTGCAGTCTTCCCTGCAGGAGAAAATGCTGGTGGGGTTTTACTTTTTACTTTTTACTCTGTGTGTGTGTGTGTGTGTGTGTGTGTGTGTGTATGCGCGTGCACGCACGTGCCCTGAGAGACCTTAACATCCAGTCAGATCTCTGGGAAATACAGTGGCAGTGATCAGGAGCTGTCCAGTGTGGGCGCTGGGAACCACCCTTGGTGTTCTACAAGAGCGGCAAGGGCTCTTAACCGCCACGCCATCTCTGGCAGCCCACAAATACAGTTTCCCTCAGTGGCTACAACGAAGTGTTCCTGTTCTACTTCCGTGTCTGTGGACAGGCAGGACTTCTGTGTCTGTGCTGAATCACCATGGACTTCTGAAAGGATTATAAATGGAAATTCAATTCAGATTATGTAGCATCGCAATGCCGATGAACCAGTTCCCAAGACAACCGTATTTATGGGCACAGGCGGCAGCACCTGTGCAAGCAGCAGCATGCCACCAATTATGTGACAGCCCAGCCCTAGAGTGCTTAACAGGTGAGAAACAATTGTCCTTAGCATGGTGTCCAATAACACCGTGCTATTCTTTTGATCCTCAAATAACCTTTCAATCAATTTTATTACATCTCAGATGAGGAAAAATGGGATTATCAAGATGTATAGTTATTAAAAAGCAGGTCCTTCTAAATCTAGCAAGTCTGTTCCCAGTGCCCAAGATCTTAACCAGCATCCTACCCTGTCTCCTCATTGTCCTAGGGCTTTTCTTTCATTGTAGCATAACAGTCATAATTATAGCTGCTTAACTCCAGCAGACGGAATAAAGGTTAAACATTGTCAAAATTACGTAATCAGATTGCCTCCATTTTTAATCATAATCTGTACACTCGTTACCACGCTGACCCATATGCTTTTGACACTCAAAGATACATTTTAATATAAAAGTCATGCTCATCCTCAAAAATTTGGAAACTACAGAATCGAGAAGTAAGCAAATAAGATTGTTACAACCGTGTCACCTGTGGGCAGTCATTACCAACATGGCAAGTTTCTTTTAAAACTTTCTGGCACATTTTCATATAGTTGAGATTATAGTCGAAATAGTTTTGGTGTCTTACTTTGTCTATGTAGCACATTGTAGTTGTTTCCTTGAGCTGCTGGAAAAATTGACCACAAATGGTGTCACTTAGAACAGTAGAGATGTATCTGCTCAGAGTAACGGAGCCCACCAGCCTGGAGACTTCTGTGAGTGTCAGAGGGCTTTTGTTGGGGGAGTTACCACGTGTTGCCTCTTCGCCACCCTAGTAGCTTCTCTTTCAAACTTAGACAATTTAAAACTAAAGCAACTTTCTATAGTCACCAGCTTCCAAGGAGCACCAGCATCTTGCTGTTGCTAAGCAACAAGGATAATGTGGTTCTCACCAAGGTGCTTGTGCTCTGTCCCTCCCATGGCTATCAGTTGACTTCGGGTCCCACTGGAACTGGGAGATGCCTGTTGTCTTGGTGAAGTATGCTATTGTGTAACTTTATAAGAGACTAGTGGGCCACCTGAGCTGGAGTTTCCTGATTGTTTCGGCTCTCCATCTCTAGGGTCTCTGGATAATGTGAATGCACAATGCTTCGTGGTAGAGAAAAAAAGTTGCTGGGAAGAGAAGATAAGAATTGACCCTGATCTAGATCAAACTCCAGCTCGGGCTGCCCTTTTTGTCTTCAGCAAAAGGTGGTTTAAGCTACCTTTGAGATTAAATGTCCTCTGCAGAATGAAGGATTCAAAGCTTGTCTTAGGCCATTATTAGGAAGGGCAGTGAGCATGTGTGTCAGGACACTGCACAGCCAAATGATGCTACACGAGAAGATGTCTTACAAAGAAGTAGGCAATAGACGAGCTGTCTCTCAGGTGCTTTCATTCTCAGGGCCCATTCACCTCACTGGGGTGCCGTGTGCCTACCTTCATGCCATTTGCTGTGCATGCATGATGCCAAACAATTGAAACTATAGCTCTCCCCAAAGATATGCAGTATTCTCCCCATTATAAATAAGATTTCCTGAAGCAAGACATAATGATAGAGTTTGTACTTGAGGGTCGATCCATACTGTATGTGTTAGAAGAAGAATATAAAATGCACAGTACATCGAAGAGTTGGGAAATGATGGTATGGTCTTTTAAACATAGCCAATAAGAACATGAACAATAGATTGATGTTTCTACAGTAGCATAACTTATTCGAGAGTATGATTAGCAGAATTATTGAAACTACCCATAGTGCTGGTAATTTTGTAGTGTGTGTGTGTGTGTGTGTGTGTGTGTGTGCGCACACACACACACACACACAATATGTAGATGCCCACACCATGGCATGTTTGTGAAGGTCAGAGAATAACTTTGAGGATTTGATTCTCTTCTTCTACTTCTACATGGTTTCAGGGATTGAACTCAGGTTGCCAGGCCTGTGCTGCAAGCACCTTAATCCACTGAGTCAGCCCAGTGCTTCTAGTTTCGACAGCAAAACAATTTGTTGTTTTAGAGAATATCAATGGAGACACATTATATCTTTCAAATTATAATTTGAAGTTACCTTGCTGTATTAAAGGTTTCCTATATGTTTACTGTATACATGCTTATTACCATATATTGATAAAATATTATAGTACTTAAAAATAGTCAAAAAGTCTTTTTTTTTAAAAGAAGAAAAAGATTTTTTTTTTGGCAAGATAGGGCCCTAGGATCAGGAATTTAAGCAGTCAAGAAGCAGGGAATTACTTTAAAAGCTGTTGAAGGGTCATGAGCCAGAGATGTCTTCTAGAAATTCAGGGGCAGCAGATCCAAAGGGAGGAATTCCTTACCTCGGGGTTGTGAGCTCTTTGAAAGCATCAATGCTGTCTCATACATGGTTGTTCCGTACACAGCCCAGAACCTGACACAGTGCAGCAGGAGCCTAGCTGAAGGCCAGTTCATACATGCTCTCTCAAGGTTGCTGTGTCCTCCATGCAGCAGGGTCAGGTTTGAGGAGTTCGTCACCTGTTTAGCTGAAGTCCTAAGTGTTTGCGTCAAATTCCTGTCTGCTCCTCTGGCCTCTCCGTGTGTGGTGTTGAATCATTAGTAGAAAGGGGAGGTGTATTGAGCTTATCATTAACCTTTTATTTTGACATGTAATCAGCCAGGATTTATGATATGCTAAAGGCTCCAACGTCTGTGAAAGGGAACATAAATGTATAAATGGGAGTATTTTTGTGGTATTGAGCTTGGAATAATATAGCCATTTGTTTTCATTGCGGCACTGTGTGTCTGATATGCTTTTATTTTCAGGTGGGTAATGACCTGCTAAACAAATGAGATATATTATTCCAGTCTATCCTGGCCTAGAGATCTGTTTCAACTTTGCCTTACCAAGCTTTCCAGTTAGAAGTCAATGCAGAATATTTAAAAAACCCACTTTCCTCTCCACCTTATGTTAATTTTGGGGAATCTATTATCATATTTCAAAATTCTATTGTGAAGAGATGAACATTTTAGTTAAACCCACTTTTAAGAGAAAATGTACTACCAACGTTTATGCGGATCAGACCTTGTAACAATTTAATGCTAAATTAGTTCAGTAACCTTAATTAGTTTAATTAAATTAAATGACTTTACAAGCAAATTTTACCAACTAATAGGATTTTCTTTTAAAAATTTATTTCATTTTTAGTCATGTGCATGTGTAGCTCTGTGTGTATGTACCTGTAAGTACAGATGCCGCAGAGACCAGAGGTGTTGGATCTCTCTGGAACTACAGTTACAGTGGGAGTAAGCCACCCTACTTGAATGCTGGAAATCAAATCCATGGCCTCTGCAAGAGTAGGATGTATTCTTAACAACTGGGCCATTTACCCAGGTCCGTTTACATAAGATGGAATTAACTTTCAAGTTTTCTTCTTCTTCTGTTTCTTAAAAAATAACATTTCCACCGGGTGGTGGTGGCACGTGCCATTAATCCCAGTCAGGAGGCAGAGGCAGGCAGATCTCTGTGAGTTCGAGGTCAGCCGGGTCTACAAGAGCTAGTTCCAGGACAGGCACCAAAAACTGCAGAGAAACCCTATCTTGAAAACCCCCCTCCCAAAAAATAGCATTTCCTCTAAACTTAATAGACTACCTTCCTTAGGAAGGAATAATTATAGGCCAGGCATGGTGGCATATGCCTTTAACCTCAGCAATCCAGAGACAGAAGCAGCCAGCGGATCTCTACGAGTTCAAAGACAGCCTGACCTACATAGTGTTTCAGGTTTTCCAGGGCTACATATGAGACTCTGTTTAAAAAAAAAAGAGAGAGAGAGAGAGAAAGAAAGAAAGAAAGGAAGAAAGGAAGGAAGGAAGGAAGAAAAAATACTTATAGTACAAAAACAAAATAGAGTACAAAATATCTAGTTTTTCATTTATTTGTGGAGCTCTCTAGTTGGGCTAAAAAAATGAAGTATGAATAATTTTCAGCATTTGAAAACTTTCAATTACTCTTAAAACAGCACACATTCATTCTATGCGTTGCCAAGAACATAAAACATCCAAATCCACCCTGACTGTCTTTCATCTTGTTTTTATCGTAGGCTTCTAAATCTTACAAAATCCTTTCTCATGTCAATTAAATCAGATATTTCCCGTAAGTGCTGTAATGTACTGTGTAGTCTGACTATGGAGACGAAAATGAACAAGCAGAGCTGTCATTCAAAGTGTCACTTCCTGTCGGTCATACCACGGCAAGCTCATTGCTATCACTTAAACCCAAAATGCCCCCCATCAAGCCCATGTGTTGAGCACTCTGCGTCTGAGTTTGGAGAGCTATTTTGAAGTGTACGGAGCCTTTGGGAGATGGATCTGGCTGGCAGAGGTAGGTCATAGGAGCCGGCCTTTATTGGTTCCCTGATTCCAGCCTGACCTCCCTACCTTCCAGTATGCTCAGAAAACAGTGTGTGAGCCCTGCCATGCCTCTGAACTCTGTCTGTGGCAATGGACCGTAGTCCTCTGAAAGGGAAAGCCAAAACTAAGCTCTCCTCCCCACACTGTTTCTGTCAGGTATTTATTTGGGTTAAAATGACACAAAAGCAGTTAGTGTATTACTCTGCTTTTTAAATTCCTAACCCAAATTCCAAAACTCAAGTCATATGATGTAAGACATATTTGTTCAATACTTAGCAATCTTCTATGACTTCTCATTTATTCCTGTTCTCAAGAACTTTAATCTATAATTATTATCATTCCTATAACTAATATCCACTGTGTCATATATACAACTTGGATTCTGTCTGTTGTTTATTGTTTTTATTTATTATGTATACAATATTCTGTCTGTGTGCATGCCTGCAGGGCAGAAGAGGGTACCAGACCCTATTACAGATGATTGTGAGCCACCATGTGGTTGCTGGGAATTGAACTCAGGACCTTTGGAAGAGCAGGCAGTGCTCTTAACTGTAGCTACCAAAGTTTCTTCCCTTCTCTTCTGGCGATTCGCAGGGCCGTGTGACCTCCGGCTTCCTGGAGACTCTGCACTAGCTCTGGCTTGAGGGGATAACCTAGCTAGAACCTGGTTCTCTTTGTTATGGTGATTCCACTTGTATTCAAGGTCTTAGCAGTGGGCCACTAGCCTGCCTCCCCTAGCTGACCCTGCCCGAGGGCTCCGGGAAGGCTTTAATCTTCCCTACTGCTCCTGGTTGGGAGGAGGCCTTGCATTTTCGGTCTTTCTAGCCCACTGGTATAAATATCTGACTTGAGTTTAATAAAGTTGCCATTTACTCTTGTAGATGCGCCAAGTCTCTTTTGTGTGTGTCTCTTTTTCAACCCTCAGGACAATCGTCCCTTCTCGTGGGCCTGAGTTCAGGAAGCGCGCAGCCTGGGTCGGGCGTGGGTATCCATTGGAAAGTGCAGACTCTTACATTTAACCTCTGAGCCATCTCTCCAGCCCCTGTCTGTTGTTTATATTGGATGACTGTGACGTGCTTTTTTTTTGCTAAAAGTCCAATATATTTGCAACTCTACTTTTCATACTTATTTTCCCAAACTGTTTGAATAATATTTTTGTGCCCTGTGATTTAATAATTGTTGAAGAGATGTTAGGAAAAAAAATTTTTTTAAGACGTAAAGTATAGGAGTTAAAGGAAGTTAAAACTTCAACGAAAAGAAAGCAGTGGATTGGCAGGCCAGTCTGAGCCCTTTCTTTAGGGGGTTCCCTGTCTTTCTTCTAAGTGTGAGGCGGTTGGCCTCCGTCCTCCTTGCTCTTTGCTTATCTCGGACAGGGAGGAGGAAGGTTCTTCGTTACCCTTCCCATCGCCTGCCCACTGTGAACCTGAACATTAGCCTGCGTGTCACATCCCAGCTACTGTCTACACAGAACCTCCCTGTTTCCCGTGACAGCAATGACTTCTCTTCTGAGAGATATGTTTCAAGGTGAAAGCTATTTGCTCCCCTAACCTCACTGCAAGCGTTCTGTTAAATGGCACCTGCCTGTACTTCCGTATTAGGAGAGCTGTTAGGAAGAACAGCCAGGGGGATGACAGACATAAATATCTTTTCCTCCCTTTGCTGGAACAAGGTGACCTGGAAGACAGTTGCTGTATTAATGTTAATGAGGATAAACAAACCCCTCGGCAAGACTGAGAGAGAAGAGCCCAGAGCTCTGCTCTCACAGTGAGAAGCTGGAAGCGTGCCAGGCTCTGGGGGTGGACTCCCAGCTGCCCTGTCCCCAGAGGCCTTGCTGTCCAGGTCTTCCATCCTATGGGGAGGATGGAACTCCTCAGAGAGGACAAGATGAGCGTTTCTCGCAATGAGAAGAAAGTCTGTTGAAGAAAAATAGATCTTGAGTGCTTTTAGCAATCCAGCCCCAACCTTTCACTATAAAACTCTGTCATCTTGGTTTCTTCCCTGTTTTATTCCTTAAACTCTAGAGGTCGCCCAGTCAGATTAAAGCCTCTGAAAAGGCACCTTTACCACTTGACTGAGACTACAACCGAGGAGGGCGCCATTTTCTGAGCACTAATAGAAAGCTAACATGTATACAGAACCACGAGGAATGAACAGGACAGGCTCTGGAATCGGGGGCACCGAGTTAAGTTTCTGTTCCTTCCTTACAAGCGATCTCTACAACCCTGAGAAAGCACCTTTAAACTCATCTGTGAAGAAAACCCAGGTAATAAGACCTATCTTGGTTGGACATGGAGTCATATATCTTTAATCCAATCATTTAGGAGGCAGAGGCAGGCAGATGGATCTCTGTGAGTACATCTACATGAGTTCCAAGCCAAAGTCAAAACACACAGACACAGACACACACACACACGTACATAGTGTGAACCACATATATATATATATGTGCAATGGGGGAACAACTCACTGATACAGGACAAGGTATAACCAGTTGCAAAGAGAGTCTTTTCGTTTTGCCCAAAAAAATTGGGAACCGACCACATGCCACATCTCGCCACCTGACCCCATTCTTTACCACCCAAGGGAGCTCAATCTCTCTCTCTCTCTCTCTCTCTCTCTCTCTCTCTCTCTCTCTCTTTCTCCTATTAAGCGGTCACAAATCTACAGATGAGAACCCATGCCCTAAGGCTGATACCCTGGGCTACTGGGAGAATGAATTTCCACAAAACACACACACATGCACGCCCGCACGCACACACACCCAACAAGCAAACCTCTCTAATAAAATCTATCTCATAAAATCATTGTAAGGACCGAGATAAATATATAACCTACCTAGCATAGAGCAAGGCACATTGCTTATGAGCAATAATTTCATAGCTATGATTGCTTAAAAGACTGTTGCAGTCTTTATTGCTCCCGATGCATGCAGCCATCACCAAAATGAAATAAAATAACCGCACTCAGAATTTTCTCTCAGACTACCCCTTAAATGAGCCTTAGTGTCCAAACTTGCACTCTTTAGGTTACACTTTTTAAGAGAGTTATAATCTCTTGATCCAAAGGATGGGCAAAGATAAGAACTCAGAGAGAAAGTTCCTCAAACCACTTTGAGAGTAGCAGCCTCACTCAGTTTAGGCAACCTT